AATCCAGGAAAATGTTAGTCATGGAGGATGCGATTAATAAAGTCAAGTTTTCCTGAATTTTGAGCATGAATCACTATTGAATCCTTGTTACAAATTAAAAAGATGTATGCACCAAAACAAGACAACATAGGAGACAAGAGAGTGTGATGTTAACGTCCTTGTAGAATCTGCTGTATAAAAATGACATAATAAAGCTAAAAAAATAAATAATTCTTCACTTGATTCTGGCATTTGACACATGACATTAACATTCAAAAGTTTAGGATTACTATGAATTCTTTTTTTTTAAAGAAATTTATATTTTTGCTCTTCAAGAATGCATCAATTTAATAAAAATGACAGTAAATACATTTATAATGTAAAAAAATTGTATTTCAAATAAATGCTGTTCTTCTGAACTTTCCATTCATCAAGGAATCCTGTCGCTGTATAATGGTTTCCACACTTCATTAAGCAGTACAACCATTTTCAACTCTGATAATAATCAGAAATGTTTCTTGTGCAGACAATCAGCATATTAGAATGATCTCTGAAGATCATGAGACACTGAAGAGGAGAACATGACATCGCAGGGGGGAAAAAAACTTTATTTTAAATTGTAAAATTATTCCACAATATTAATGTTTTTTAATATTTTTAATTGATGCAGTTAGTGACATGAACAAAGAACCTTACTAATACAAATCCTTAGAACAGTATTTTATATATAGGAACACTTTCATGCGTGTGTGTGTGGTCTTAGATTCCTATTCATTTTGTAAATACAGCCTAAGCCTAACAGTTAAAGAACAATTACACCAGGATAGATGAAAACGATCCACAAATACAAGTTTATTTCAGCTGTTGTATTTAAATGAAAACAACTAACAACAGATTTACAGTTTTAAAGCATTGCAACAGCACAACAAACTGAAATCAAAGTAATTTACTACTAAGTGTGCTGAATTCCTGCAATCATTCAGTCAGTGACGACTGCACAAAACGTGCAAACTAATGAAAACATTATAAACTGTTACAAAATGATGAACAAATTTAGTTTAGGCATAGGTTTGTGCAACGCTGTAAAATATTTACCTTTTTTCTTATATCCATATTTATCTCCATGCTGATTGGTCTAAATGTGGATGCTGTGTTGTCATAGTGGGAGGAGACTAGAACAGGCCTAAAGAATAAAGTTAAACATCAACGGTGGTTTTTTACAGCATTATGTGTAACCTAAATGTAACCAAAACCTAATCTAACCCGGTCATAAAACCTACAAGGATCATGCTTAATCTCAAAATAATAATAATAATAAAACCTATAAGGTGATTAGATATTATCGGTTTGCTTGCAATACTGTTCGGATTACAGTGGATAGAGGATGCAAGACCACCAAAGTTCATCGTTAATCAGTTTACAACTTTGTCATTCAGACAGCAGACCAACTATTTTGACAGAGATGCAAGAAACATTATATAGAATATAAATGATGAGGCTTACAGTAGTATTTTTGTGGATACCAGCACACATTGGTCAAAGAAAATGAAACGGCAGATCAAGCCCGGCGCCAGGTGGAAGCATGCTCCCTCAAATGAGTTACTGTGTCCTTCCCCTTCAAAATCAAAAGTGAATGTAAAATGCCAGCCAGCATGTATATGTGATTACATGCTTTTGTGATTGTCAGAGATTGCACACTTCCATTCCACTGTATTGCATTCCATTCTGTTGTAGATAATAGACACTCTGGTCCATGCACCAGTGGTAATGCACCAGTTCACTCGGTGACAATAAACCCTAAAGAAGAAGAAGAAGGTGATTAGACTCAGTGATTAGATTTTGGATTGTTGCCTTGTAAGAACTTGGCACCGTGACACTTCTTTTTCTGGTGTGCATCATAACCTATTCAAAATAAGTGGTTTACCATTGGGTTTAGGTTTCCTGAACAACTTCTGTGAAAGCTGAGTCACAACTAATCAGATAAGAGAGACAAGACTGTTCCAAACATACACATCTGTGCTAGTAATACACACAGTGCAGTCACAATGTTGTGAGTTACAGTACAGGAATGTTTAGCTAACGTGGGGTATTGGGAAGAAATAAACCACATCTGCCACGCTGAACTTGTGGTTACATGAATTATTGATGTAATACATGTTGCAGTATACAATATTAAAATATTTTGAGCTTGTACTAATCTCAAGAGAAGCATTTATCTACCAGAGTGAGCAGTATAGCTGTAGCGCATTTGAGCTGTTAATGAAGTAGGTGGGCTCTGCTATGAATCAATCAGAGAACTATTAGTCAGCTGTCAACATATCTGACTTCATTCCGGCCTTTGCCAGTCAGTGAAATCATACTTTGGCTTTGACTGAAACTTGGATCACAGCATAAGACTGCTACTCCCACCCACTTCGTCCAACTGGGCAGGGTGGGTCTACTCATTAATTGCTCCTCATTAATTGCTCCTCCAGGCAATTACATCTTCTTTGAATACCATGTCCATCACAGTCACTAAACCTGTTAAACTTCATTGTGTTGTCATGTACCTTTCCACCAGGTAAATTGGGCAACACAACCACCTAGACAAATAACATCCACCTAGACAAATCTCAAGCGACTGACTTCCTAACTCTTCCTATCTCATTTGACCTCACAAGACAGCACGCCCCTGCAATACAAAGCAAGCAAAGAATAAGACCTCATGCTAACACTTAACTGCACCACTGACAACCATCTTGTTACTCCACATTTCTCAGACCACTTCTGTTTTCAAATCTCTCACTGCTGCCTTCATGCTCACCACTGACTCCTCCTCTTGTCTCCTTTTGCTGCAACCTACACCTTCTCTGTCTTACACATATTTCCACTTCTCTTCTCAGTGAAGCAACTGACACTCTGGGCCTGTTTACACTTGGTCACTTCATGCGTTTTCTCTGATTGAGCAGGTATCTGATTTGCAGGGTGGAGGAGTAACGGAATACTTGTAACAGCATTACGTAATCAGGATACAGAAATCTAGTAACTGTAATCCGTTACAGTTACATCAAAAAACAAAGTATTCAGATTACAGTTACATTTTGTAAAAAGTGGGAATACTATTAGGATTACATTTGTTTAATTTAAAATTAAATAAATGAGTATTTTGATATAACGCTATATATTTAGTGCTGCATAGTTCCTGGTTCTGTTGACACCTTTTTCACAGTTATTTTGTTTTCAAAGAGGATAAAGGAAATAACATAGTTTTACAGCGTAAGCTATGCATGACGACTCTTGCTTTAACAAAGGCTACTCAACCAACTTGAACATTTGCAGGTATGACTAGCATGGAAATCATCATGTTAGCTCAAATTTAGTGTTTGTGAGTGATTTAAAATTCCATGGTGTGCATGAGTGCAGTTGTAAGTTTTCTAGCGAAAAACGAGTCTGAAAATGTAGAAATTACATGAGAGTCCCCACACCCCAGATCAGGCAATGAAATAAAGGAAGATCATAGCATTTCACATGCATTTCGATATGTAGGCTTATTTTAAAATAGACTAAAATGTATATGGAGGACATTTTTGAATGTGTATAAACTATATTTATTTTTACTTGTACATGTTAAAGTAATAAAAAATAATAATAAAAATAAAACTGTAATACTAAACTGTATAGCCAGATGTCTGCATAGCCTTTTATATAAATATACGGGCTGGAATATCTAGATGGTGAAACAAGACACGATTTTTAATAGTTTCAAATAGTTTTTACTATAGTTTTTATTCGTTTTAATTTTAAAGTCATAGTTAAGTAAAAGTACTTTTTTTTTTTTTACTTATTTACATATGTAATTTAAAGTAATTAAAAAGTAATCAGATTACATTACTTTTATATTGTGGTACTTGGATTACGTTACTGAATACTTTTTTAACAAAGTAATGTAATGTGGTGTTTTGTTTCATGTTCATGTTTTCCATGTCTTTTATTTTGTAATTGTTTCATGGTCCCTGTTTGTGTCATGCTTCCCTTGCCCTCATGTATTCATGCCATTGGTTCCCCTGTTCATTGTGTCATGTTCTGATTGGTTGTCTTAGTCATGTGTCTTGTTTCCCATTGGTTTGTTCTTGTCATGTGACCCTCTTGTTTCCTATAAGTAGCTTCATGTTCCCATTGTGCCCTCGTCGTGTATTGAATGTATTTAACCCACTGTTGGTGAGTCAAGTCAAGTCAAGTCAGTTTCTTGTTTGGATGTTTGGATATCACCTGTAAATAAACTGCACTTGGGTTCTCACTTACGCTCGCCTTCAGTGGATGATTCGTTACAGTAGTCTTGTGTTTTCTGTGAGCTTTACTATCAGGTAGATTTTAAGGATAGCTTCCTGAAAGACATTTTCTGCTATGGTTTGGACAAAAACATTTCTCATTTAATGCCATGCAATACCCCTCAATGGACTCTTGAAAAATACATTTACTTTGCCTTGTTGCTGGCTGATTCACCCTTCACTGTGGGTGTCA